CAAAGATAAGCAAAATGGTATTGGATGTCAATAAACGAGGATTGAGCACGGGGAACGGTAATATGAAAAAATGGCAATAAAACAGACAATAGGTAATGGGGTATTGGCCTAGAGTTTAAGTTAGGTTTTTTTCCTAAGCTTCATTACCTGTTCCCCGATCTCAGTTAAAGGGAACTCCCTAACTCCAAAACATAACATGGTATTAGGTCTCCGCCTGTGAAGACAGATGAGAGTGAAAGAAAGAAAGAGTTTTGCCATCCGTCTTCAAATTTCAGACATATTAAGACTTGTTATCCATGAATTTTACCTTACAGGTGAAACGGGAAAACGTACAATAACAAATTTTAAGTTTCTTGAGTTCTCTTATGTTATTATATATGTTGTTTGCTAAGTCACTCGAGGTTTTCATTTTTCATTTTGTTTGGGAAGGGGGAGTGGGGTCAAAATAACTTTCTTATGAAGTCAGAAATTTTAAAAGAAAAAAGGAAAACTAGAAACGACCGCTAAAATTGCTGATTCTAGTTGAGAATTTTTTACTATCATAAACGTGTAAGTACGTGAAGAGGGTCTGGATGGGGGGAGGGGTTTGGTAGAAACGTCAGCTGTCAGTTAAAAATTTGTCCATTTGTAGGTTGTCAGTTGAACTCTAGGCTTTTTGTCAGTTGTCATTTAAATGATTATTAATGATTAACTATGAAACGTATTTGTATATTTTGGATGCGAAATTTAGTTTAAAAGGCACAAATCATGAAAGTTAAACATTAAATTCGAAAACGGATGCATTAGTACCTTAATTCTTATCAGTTTTGCTATTGTAAGCATTTCAAGTGGCCCTCCATGTATCAAGTCTTGTGTTATTCTCCTGGCCTCCAATTTCGCCAATCAAAATTTATGCCTTTAGAATATTCATTTATTGGGGCGTAGATGGTAAGAAAGACAAAGAAACACCGTATCTGAATCATCTCGGTAAAAACTTGCAATTGTTTTCGTAACGCTCTCATTCGCAGCCATCGTATGCTTTCGCGTTCTTAGAGGAAAGAATTAGAATTTGAGATCATAGGTCATTTACAACAGATGGTACATGACTCGCATGGGTTCTGCAGTAAATCATTAACGAAATATGACACTCAAGCGTCTTGCTGCTACGATTACCCATAAAAACGAACATTTGATCACATTGTCTGACAGAGAGAGTGGCAAAATGACCAAAATGGTTTTGCAGAAAATAAGGGACAATCAGTTCCTTTGTAAGTTGTCAGTAAAACCATAGGTAAATGTCAGATGTTGGTTAAATTTTAGGCTATTTGTCAGTTGTCAGTTAAGATTTTGGCCATTTGTCAGTTGTCTCCAGACCTTCCTTGAACTTAATCGTGCAAGGAAACGTTATAGTTCATGTGTTATGTAATCTGCAAGATGCACAGGAAGGCGTCTGATACGAGAGGATCTTCGTTAGTAAGGAAGAGGACGTTTCGCTGATCTGACTGTTTCCTCCATAATAGTGAAGGAATGATAGAGTGGCACAATGATAGGCTATAGATGCTCTGCCCGTGATATTTTCGGTAGGTAAGGCAAAGGGTGGTGGTGTATGACGCTGAGATAGCTGATAGGCTGAGGCAGAGATTGCATCAGGATGTAAGGCAGAGAGAGTAAAGTGTAGTATCCGATTATTCATCTTACTTGTCTACATCATCTGTGTCGTACGGGCGGCGGATTTGTATGGAGTCGGCCAAGTCTGACGGAACTTTGAAAACCTTTGACATGGTATGACGAAGTGCATAACTGGGATTGGGACGAGACTCTGTTCAAGCGTAATGAATTTGCTGCTAGGTGGACTTTAATAACTCCCTGTTGCATGTAGGGCTGGTTGGATGCTTGTAGAGGCGGATATTTAAGTGGTCGTCGAAGAAGGTCAACTGTTTGTTGGAAAACTGGTCGCGTTGTGTTCACATTTCTCGACCGCTAAAGGCAGATATCTAAGGGGAGAGTTTGGAGAGATACGAGACAGTTTGGCTTCCAGATCCTGTTCTGCTCTCCCAGTTACGGGGGTTCTTGTAGAACCTGGTCGAGCTTAATCGTAATCCTATGATTTCTTAAGAGTTGATCGTTGATTTAATAGCCTTATGCCAGGTGCAGGGTCATTACGAATCACTACAAGTGACAAAACATGAATCAACCTCTCTACTGTTTGCAGGACGTGACTCTCCATTAGATATAACAGTGTGGATGGACATTTCACGGAATCCAGGATCCATTTCTGAAATTATTTTTAATGGCTGGAATCAACTTCAATGTAGTAATTTGCATACTCAAGCTCAGACTAAAACAACAACTATCTAGAACAATGGACCAGGAATGTTGTTTAATATTCCTTCATTATTAGGGAACTTAAGAACCACGACGAAGTTCACGACGACGACGTCTGTTGACCGGGAAAAGACTGGAACGAGAACGTCAGTTTCGGCGGGAAAAAGGAAACTTAAGATGCAGTCGATCGGTAGGTCGACGACGACGACACTGAATGTAAACAAACAAGTAGAAGTTGTAGAACTGTGATGTTCGTTCGCAACAAAGTTTTTTCGCAGAGGCGTCTTTTAGAACGATGCAAGATCTTATTTTATAAGCCGTACGTCTACTTTCATTGACGATGAAGAATTTTTAGCAATGTCTGACCTTTTCAAATGGAAAAATCTCTGCTTTCCGTACGAAGATTATTCAACTTTCAACCTGAATGAGATGACCGAGTCCGAGTGTCTGTCAGACGTTAGTTTTGGAAAAAGAGATATTCCGATGCGATAGCTGTTTTCCACATAAAGTTCATTTCCTCTAAATTAAAGATATATGATTTCCCTTTCCTAAATACGTACAACTAAATTTATCACTTACTAGTTCGCTCGCTCGGCCTCCACAGCTCAGTGTTGCCTTCGAAGTAAACACAATTCATCAGTCGAATTTTCAATCAACATCGCTTGTTAGGAGAAAAAAGAAAGGATACCTGGATTTACGAGGATAAAAAATACAAAGCCCTTGAAAAATCGCTTAAAAACAATGATTCATACCTGCGAAAGCTTGTGGATTGCACGACGACGTGATTCTACTGTGTTTGGCGTCGTCGACGACACCACGACGACGAAATTTGCTAATCGCGCTTGCGCAGTGCACGGTATCTCACTTCCGGTCGTCGTCGACAAAGTCGTCGTCGTGGTTCTTAAGTTCCCTATTATCAATGCGACCACGTCACACCTTCGGGTAACGTAGACCATTGCATCGCACTCTCACTGATGTTCCTATTGTTAGATCACAATATCCCGTCATTAGAAGCAATTCACTGAAACTGTGCAATTTGAACGCATGATCAATAAAGAGCAAATCTGCTGATTTTTTGTGTTACTTCCAATCTTGTTCAGCAGATATTTTTGCTATCACTGAGACTTAGTTCACAGAGATAGACTCGGCAGACAGAGTTGAGGTGACTCCACCTAGGTATAAGTTGTATGACCATGCAAGATCTGGACTCATCGGGGAATGGGACTGCCTTACGTTGTGCCGCGATAACTTAGGTGTGACCAAGGTAGCGGTCGGTTAGAAAAGGTCTTTTGAATTTTCCGAGTAGATTATCCTTGGAAAGGGTTCTTGTAAAGTATGCACTGTTGTTGTATACCGCCTGCAGTATTCTCCTAATCATCCTGTCACTACCGGTGTATTTTTTTCAGAATTTTGCTGATTATCTGTCGTCGTTGGTAACCAGTGACATCGATATCCATGTCGATGTTGTTGGGGATCCTGATCGTGCGAAATTTCTTGAGCTAAACGAAACAGTGGGTCTCCAACAGGACGTTATTGCGCCTACTTATGAGTCTGGGCATACATTGGATCTGATTATCTCGCGGCAATGTGAAAACCTGGTCAAGACAACGCCTGTATCTGACTATCACATAACCGATCACTGAATGTTACTTGCTTGTTAAACCTCGACACGCCAAGTGTAACTAGGAAGACAGTAGGAAGACAGTGACATTTAGGAAAACTAAGGGCGTTGACCTGGCAACTCTGTCTAATGAACTTTCTTCCTCGGACTTATGCAAGAATACTCCTGACACGCTAAGAGACCTTGTTGATTGTTACAATACTACACTTTCGTCCGCTCTTGACCGTCATGCTCCACTCGTTAAACCGTTAACGGGACAGTAATTCGCAATTTGACCCAGCATCAGCTTTAGAAAGTTAACTTTGAAAGTTGAAGTTGAAGGGCGATAAGGGTTGGAGAGGGTGGTACGGTGCACGTGTCGCCACCATTTTGGATTCCTCGAAGCGGTTGGGCTTGGGTATTTTTTAGCGCCATGGCCTATGACAGCAGTGAAGTTGGTGAAAAAGGATAAAGTGTATACTAGATTTATTTTCCAATTCTCAAGGCTGCTTATAGTTTCACATTAGCCAGTTTTGTCTCCGTGGCCGAAACTTACAAGTGATTTTTTTTTGCGGCCAAAGATGTGCCTTGATTTGAACCAAACGCTGCCACCACTCCAGTTGAGGAGATAAGACAAGGACCAAGGCACAACCGTTTCGTGTAAGGCTTTTAATAAAACAACAGATTCAATAATAGTCCTGAGAAACAGAAGAAACATGGCCGATGCCGGGACTACTTTAATTGATGTTCCCCGACAAGGTGCGTGGACAAGAACTATAGGGTTGCCGAATCATTATTCCTGAAAAGCACCTTGTGGGCGAAGATTATTAAGTATATATTATTTTCCATATTGTGCAATCAATGAGCGATAAGTTTTATGACTCGCTACAGTTCCACTGTATTGACTTGAGCAGCTTCATTTGAAATTATGGAAGAACCGAGACTCCACCTGGCTATCTAATAGTGACTTTTCATGAAAACTGTAAGACATAAAAAATGGGGCACTCCAGAAATTATTGAAAGGATGAACTGCATTAGTAAGATCAGGTGCCATTACCAAGTTTGAATTTCGGCAAGACAAGGTGGGCAAAAATCGACACGAGCACAACCTAAGAGAACTAGGCTGAAAGCTGCCTGAAAAACACTGCGGCCCATGATTACTTGGAAACCAAATCGAAGGTCTTCCTTGCATTTTCTCAAGCTGTGGTATGCCTGGGTCGGGAAAGCCTTTGAATGGAAAGTGTATCTTTCCGCCAGTTGTTCCGCGGGTTTCGAACTTTGTGAAAGATGCTGCTGTAGACGCTATGGCTTTTTTCTCTGCTCTTCGCTTGCTCCGTTTGCAGGGTTTGCGTCTTTTAGGTTGGTATTTGTATCCTGGGTTTTCCACCTTGTGTTGCTCGTTAAGCCTCCGTGCTTCTTCTACGTACGGTTCTTTGTCTTCTTCAGAGAGTTTTCTCCACGCAGCGCCCAGAGCTTTGCTTACTTCGGCGTTATTTATTCCCGGGTGTTCCTTTAGAATGTTGTAACGTTTCTCCCGACTCCATACCATGAAACAGTTCATCGGTCTCTTAATATGTGTTTCAGAGTTCATCTCTATGAGATCTCCTACTTTTGAAAGTGTTCTGCAGGCTATTGACGTCTTTCAAGGAGTTAATCACAATGCTTTTGAAAGACACCTTGTCCCTTGCTGCGTTTTTAAAATCCAGTCAATTAAATTCAAACAAAGCCAATTAAATACATATTAGTAACAGGTACTCAGCAAAACCAAAACAAACTGCCACCTGAAACCAATGAATTAACTATTTACTTTCTGGGGAACGCCTGATTTTCTTAACTTAAAACGGTCATACACCATGCATAGAGACTGTATTTAAGCAGATGAATGTATCTTTAAGTACGATGTGCACTTGAAAGTTCTTACCTCCAAGCTCTCTTTTTTTTTTTAAGGCTTCGGGATTGTCTTTCATATCTCCTGTTTTTAGACTTCAACCAAAAATTGCGGTTCCAAATGTTTTTAGAATATGATGGCTTGCTTTATAAATGTTTGTCTCGGTTGAGTCAACAGCTCTAAAGCATTCAACCACAGTTTTGTTTATAGCAGTTATCAAGTGGTGTTTGGCTACTTTGCGACGCCATTAGCTATTGTCTATACTTTCCCGCCTATCATCAATTTAATTAGTTATGGCACAATTACTAATTTTGCCCATGACGAGAGCAAAATTTGCCTTCACCGTGACATTGGTTGAAGAATGGCAGCATGCATGAAGTGTTTTGTTGTTGCCATTCCTGTTTAACGATATAATTACGTTAAGTAAAAAAAACATAGCTTAATATAATTGTACCTTGATTTAACTGTCAAATATAACACAAACAATGATTTTACTGTCCACAAAGATACATATCAAACTTTCCAATATGACAGTTAAAAACGGCACCGTGTTTACGTGCTACAAGGAAGGACACAGTGTTTGTGAAGACAATTTCCGTTCAATCCAAAATCGCAATTGTTTACACTTCTACTTTTATAATGGCCATTTTAATTGAAGATTTAAGGGTAAGGACCTCTAAGCAATTGGACGACAAGGCTCCGAAACACTGTTTTTAAACCCCAAATGTTTTTGACAGGTTTCCCTACAGGTTTCAGAAAGATTTAACTGGACTTGCTAGAACATGGCCACTCAGTGAAATGCATTTGACCGCAATGAGGCCAAAACACGATTTTTGTGCGTGCGACAATTCTGCACAGAAGAAAAATGAAAAGAAAAATAGGAAGAGCGAGAAGAAAAGAAGGAGGAAAACAAACAAAAGTCATGATGACAGTCACGCTCTTAGTTTTATAATGCCTAAATGGAAAAAAAATCAGTTGCAGTGTGAGCAACATTTAACACTTTGCTTACATGTTGACTAACGTTTGAAAAATATCAAGGTGGAAATCGGTGAAAAATGTCACATCTATCCTTAATCACTGCGTTAAAGAAGAAACGAATAGAATAGAATGTCATTTATGACAAAATTATCAGTTGTATGAGGTATTGGAGTTTCTGGTTTCTACTTTGGGACAGGGTAGGGATTTTTGGTGCCCAGTCTTCTTGCTCGTAAAGGCTCGTTGCTTTTTTTGAATGCCAGAGAAAGCGTGTCTTGGACTTAAAGTCTTGTCCCAGGATGGTGTCTTTCCGCTATTCGCTTCTCTTATGCTGCTCTACAAGCCGTACTGACCACAGTTTTCGGTATGCCGACTATCATTCAAACAAAACAGTGAACAAAGGAATACCAGGAGACTGTAGAAACATATAGGAGGAATTGAAAGAAAAGCTGCCAACTTCAAGAAGTAGGCCAAGTTAAGATAGAATCCTGGTTTGTGAATTCTAAGAGGCTTGGGCCAACTAATTCTGACTAATCAATACGTACAAGGCTGGGCATGGCCCGTTTCACTAAAGTTCCGTTAGCGTTACAGAGCCGAAGCCATATTTAGTAACAATAAAAATCGAAAGAAATGTTACGCCGTCATAAATTGCTGCTTAATTACGTTGACCCCAGAATGAATCACCCTTTCAAAACTTCGATCCGATTTTTTATTCGCTTAAATTTCACTAATTATTTAAAAAAAAAAAACCTTTTGTAAAACTTAGTATATTATTAATTATTCATTTAACATTGAATAACTGAAATATTAGAAACGAGAATGTGTTCTTGTATGCTTTCTGATACTTTCTAAGCGGTGAGGTATAGCATGAACGAGCTCCCAAAGCGTGTCCAAAGTCACATTCTTCCACGCGAAGCATATAGTCACTGTCTTAGCTCGTCAAGTGTTTTAGGGGCTTGATCTTTGTATGTTGTCTCGTCTACGATAATCCAGATGGTCTCTAGGGGGTTCACATGACGTGAGTTTGCCGACCGGTCTTCCTTTGGTATAAAGTTTTCAAATCCTTCCGACACATGCTTGCATGACTTGTGCACCGCCTTTTTCAAATCAAGGCTTTCCAACCTTTTTCGGTAACTTATATCCATACCGTTGTGCTCGAAACTCTGATCGATAATGTGAAGTTGAAATTTTTTTACCTTTCTGTTTTTTGGGGAATTATTACATATATACTTACAGCTTTTCCGATAATATTTCTCACACAGTTTGTGAAAAACGGCCATCCACTCCTTGGTTGTCTTCTAAGGCCTTTACTTTTAACCACACGCTCGATCATCGTTCAGATTTCTTCAACAATTTGGCAATTTTTTTTTGGACTGAATGGCCAGAGAACCATAGAAATAGATACCTGAGCTCAGCACAAACAGTGTAGACCTTCATTTTCACGAAGGAGTAGAGAAAATAAAAGAAAACGTTAAAAATACCAAAAAAGAAAACCTACAAAATGAGGAAAAGTATGGCGGGAAAAACCTCGCGTACGTGTACAGTTGGGGCAAAAAATTAAAAAAAATATATAATTTCTTCAAAGTTTAGTTTGAAATTGCTTTGAACGGTTATTTAGATAAATTTCTTACCTGAATCAGTTTACATTTGCCTAAAAAAGCATTAAATGCTTTGCACAAAATACAATTTACAATCGGAACGAACTTTTGAAACACCCTGTAGAGACATGAAATCTCCACATTTTTTAGTGAACACTTAAAATAGGTCTTTTCCGAGGCTTGTGTTTACAAACCCAGTGATGAATAGAAAATCTTCTCCCACTGTGTGGAATCACTCGAGTAACGTGCGTAATGGTCCATTTTGCAGCAACTGTCAAAAATTCATCAAGATTCACCTTGCTGACTTTCAATCGTCCCCAGGGAAATCTCTAGGGTTTGAAGGTACCAAAGTTGGCGAGTACTATACTAACTCTGACTCACAAACAGGGTATTTGTCATCAAAAAAGATTGACGCATAGCCATCATATGAAGGACGTGTTTGTCCATTTTGCCTTTTCGGAAGCTTGGGGTGACAAAATACAGCCATGTGCAGAAAGTCTCCTCTCATTACGTGTACTCGCTGGAGTAATGTGCCTAATAGTCCATTTTGCAGAAAATGTCATGGAGATATCCAATCAAAGTTGGCGGGTACCTCTGACTCACAAACAGGGTATTTGTCACCAAGAAAGATTGACGCGTAACCACCATTTGAAAGGCATGTTTGTCCATTTTGCCCATTACATTCTAAGTCTTCAATTACATATGCTTCAACTAGTTCAAAACATATCTGCCATTTAAGATAAAAAGTAAAATGCCGCTAAGGTTAAAATTATTAAAAATCATTATAAAATTTCAAAATAGCATGGTTTTTACTTAAAACTTTAACCTTCATTTGGGAAAGCGATAAGAATTGACAAAGAGCACGACGATTTTCTGGAAAATTATAGCTATAACACTCAGAAATGTATAGTCCCTTTAAACATTTGACGTGTAAAGACGATACGCGTTCTATTCAATTAGAAGCGGCAAGTATTTTGATGGTTAAAAGTTTTAATACAGTCTAGTCTGACCTGACCGGGTGAAACTCATGTTTATTCCATACATCATTCTATTAATGACATTTTAGACGGTCAATGTCAGCGTGGTTTACTTAGAAGGGGGTGAAATTTATTTACTTCAATATTAATAATAAGGTATCGCTAAGCGCTTAAGTTTTGGCTATTCTCCTTTACACGGTATCTTAAAGTATAATACATTAACATCCCATTGGCTTTCTAACCATGTGCATTAAGGATGATGGTATGTCAGAATCCAGTAGCAAATAGCCGCATCGTTTATTACTAACATTATCGAAGAAAAACTGAGACGATGAAACGCTGATAAAAATGTTATCATATTTAGTAAAGCATATCGGCCAGCTTCATTTGAGATTAATGCTGCTGTAAGAACCAAGTTCAAACTCCAGTGTGATTGATCGTTGGCTTAGTAACGTGGTCAAGCATCGTACCGTTTGCGATGTACGCGAAGACCGTGCTGAGTTCCGTGTGGGCCTTTCAAATGTGTTTTCGTGCAACAGCTTGCTGTTAAAACAATTAACATTAATTTATATGTGTACTCAATTTTTCTCGTTATGTCAGCTGCTTAGATCCTGTGTAAATTAGGTTGGTATAGAAAAAAAGATTTTTGTCACCCAACCACTCAGTCAAAGCCCCTAAAGGACACAAGTTCACGCGACATCACGCGACATCCCTAACTTAAAGTTTCTTAACATACGCGTGCTGATAATTAACCGTTATTCATCGCAGCCTAAGTTGATATATCAGCGCGTTTTTTTTTCTCCCCACATGATGATTATCATGTTCCAAATTGTCATTCCCTCTAATTAGATTGACAGGGTTTTAATGTTTCCATTTTGTGAAAGGCTTTTAAGAAATATTAACCGTATTTTAAATGGCTGGATGATAAGATTTTATCGCAGTAAATGACGTCAACGAAAGTGATCCTCAATATACAGAACATGTTATAATTTTTTACGTGATTCACTGAAACGCAGTTCTCAAGAGCGTTCCGATCGATAAAAGCAATAAATAAGCAAGACCTCGCACCTGCAATATCTCCACAAAATACAAGGGAACTACTTGACAATAAGAAGAGAGCGGGGAGTTTGGTGTACAAGAGCAGGACATGCGTTGCATGGAAAAATAAAACCAAGTCCAGCGTTAAAAGTGTTTGAGGTGAGAA